GACTGGCCAATCAACCAGACATCGTGGTAGTAGACAAGAACCAGAAGACAGCAGTGGTGAGAGATGTAGCGATGCCAAGAGACAGTAACATCAGGAAGAAGGAGCATGAGAAGCTGGAGAAGGACCAGGCCCTGAAAGAAGAACTAGAGAAGATGTAGAAAATAAAGGCCAAAGGGGTCCCAGTGGTGATTGTGACACCTAAGCTGGGAGAGGGGCTCCCACAGATCCCAGGAACCACATCTGAGCTCTCTGTCTAGAAGAGTGCAGGGCCAGGAACAGCTCAGATCCTGCGCAGAACCCTCCAACTCCCAGGCCCCTGGTAGAGGACCCAGGACTGAGGAAGACACAGACCACCTATAGGTGGGAGGGGATTTTTATATATTTATATTTATATATGTACACAGACTGAAAAAGTGCCAAGAGGTCCATTAAGGCTTTGATGTTCTTGCTTTCTGGAAGTCCAATGATCGTCAAGGCTTCCTTTCCCTCTAGGGCACTGCTTGGCCACCAGACTCAGATGCACAAAGCCCCCCCCCCCCCTGGTCGAGAGCCACCAACCAACCTTATCCCTGCAGCCGGGACAAGGGGGCGGGGCTTCTGATGCAGAGGGTGTGGCTTCCCGCAAACCAGGGAGGTAGCCTTCTGGTCCGAGGAGGAAGCCAGCTAATGGGTTTCTGCTTGATGAAAATGACTCGCCGGCTTCCTCTGAGATCTGAGCCGCTCAGCTCCCTTCCTGTTGGTGGCCGAAAGGGGAAGAGGGCCACCATGCGTGTGCTTGAGTTTCTCCTTTATAGTTCAGGAAATGATCACATAGCCATAACCTGAAAAATAAGTCAAGGGGTCTTTTTCTCCCCCCTTCCCTCCCTCCCCCCCCCCCAAATTCATCCTTCCAGATTTGTTTCTGGGAGTATAATGTCACTGGGACATTTCCTTTCCATGGCCATATGCGCGGCCATACACAGGATGTTTCCTATTTCTTTCCAAGGTTGGGGTGGGGGAGCGGTAAACCCAGTCCTTTTGGCACAGGTTGAGTGTCCCAAACGTGGCCAAAGGCCAGATCGCCTGTGTAACAAGTGATGTCACTTTTCCCTTTCATTTATTTCTTCCTTTTTTGTTATTACACTTATTTCTAACGCCTCCCCCGGCCTTGTTATCATGCTGGATGTGTTAACAGCCACCAGTTTGTCACTTTAGCTTGTAGTGGAAATCCAAATAAATGTTTTTAAAAGCAAAGCATGGTTCCTTTGTTTTGGGTTTGGTTGAAAAAAAAACCCAAAAAAGGGAGTGAAAACTTAATCCTTTATGCCAATAATTTTCATTAAAAAAAAAAAAACCTCTTCTGTTCTCAAAGGCAGTTTCTTCCCGCACAATAAGAAAGAGAAGGAAAAACGTTCATTAAAAAATGAAGACCTTCCTTGATGAGAAGAAATCTGTTCTAAATCACCATCATCCTTCGATGAACAGATGGCACTAACATTTTCCTTCAGTGGACGGAAAATTCCCTGTTCAGATACTCAAAGACATGTATAGGAATTTTTGCCAAAATTAAGCTTGATTAATTGGAAGAAAGAAAGAAAGAAAGAAAGAAAGAAAGAAAGAAAGAAAGAAAGAAAGAAAGAAAGAAAGAAAGAAAGAAGGAAGGAAAGATCAGAATCAGAAAATGTTTTCAATGTTCTACCAGCCAACAAAGAATTTGGCACTGAAGCAGATATTTTAGTTAGCACTCTCTGTAAAAAATAAATGCAATTAAAATAGAGAATCTGCAACAAAAGGAGGAGTAATTTTTTTTCCTGAAAATTAGTGCAAATTGCTTTGCCAAAGGAAAGAAAAAGACGATATCCATCTTGGGGGACTTTCGACGACTTCACAAACTGTCCCGCACAACTGAGTTCCTATTTTGATGACATTACGTTTCTAGGGCTGGAGTTAAATTTCTTATTCTGGAAGGTATTTTTGTAAATTACCCGGAGGACTGATTGTTTCTTTTTTAAATCCTGCATTTGTAAAGTGGATGTAAACCAGATTTATAAGAGTAAACATTTGATCTTTAAAGAAACTCTCCCCCTATTATTATACTTCATTAATGATAATTAATAGCGATGCATTATTGCCAGGGAAGTTACAGGGAGTTTTACAAAAGACAATCTTGATTTAGAAATGGAGTCAGACTTTCAGCAGCCCCCGACATAAAAATTAAACACAGGTACAGGCTCACTGCTGCGATGGTGAGGACACGTTTGGCTGAAACTCAAGTTCTTTGACGTCATCTGTGTTTCTGTGTCATGTTATAAAGAAAACACAACATGCGTGCAAGCAACCGATCAATGATCTATTCCTGCAGACTCCCCCAAGCAATGCAGAACCCCTTCGGTGGCGGGCCGCCCCCCAATCTGAAAGCCTAGGAAAGTCGAAGCATGGCACAGAACAGCCCGCGGTTGCGTTCACTGAAAAACCACACACAGACTTGCTGAGAAAAGGATATCACGGTGTTTTATTCGAGGACGGAGTTTTCCATGCTGAGAACAGATCGTTCCTCCGAGAAAACGCGTCAAAACCTTGCTGCGCTGAACATCAGCCCATAAAAGCCGCCTGGGTTGAAACGCCAGCCCTTTGTATCTTTGAGAGCGTCGCTTCGCGGGAGATGTTCCCACGAAGCCAACGCAGAGACTAAACACGGATCAGCTGCCAGAAACGAATCTGGAAACACTTGGGGGCAACATTGATTTGGGGGAGAAACATGTGTTCGCATAACAAGCGCATGAGAGTCGAGCAATTAGGAAAAGATGTTTTAATAATTAACCAGCCAGCAAACAAGCGCCCGGTTCCACGAGATACTCCCCTACGTGCGTCTTTGCGATGCTGTAGGTGTACAAGTGGATTTGCTCAAAACTCTTGCTGGAAACGCCTGATGGCAGCGGCGAAAACGCTCCCCCACTTTTCCGCGAACCCCAAATCCCAGAGAAGTGATTCCACACGGCTCGAGAGCTGCCTCCTCTTCCTATTCTTTGTGCTACATAGGTGCTTTTCAACACGGTGGCTATCCTTTCATTTATTATAAAAGAGAAAGAGAGTAGACGTAGTATAAAATGCCTGAACAAATTAAATATTATAGATAGATATAAAAAAAAAGCTTAGTAAAAAATATAGATTTGTCCAAACGAAAGAGAATGCTCTTCATACAGTGGAAAGTATGTGGCAAGGGGCACCCCGAAATCATCCCGGTCCCTTAACCATATTGAAAAAGGATTGTTCTGAATTTTAATACCGGATCGTTCATTTTGGATCGAGCCTTTACGGATTTAAGCCTGAACTTTTCAGTTTTCGTGCGTGGCACAGTCTTTGGGTAAAGTACAACACGGGGTTACATTTCCATCTTGAATTACATCTTTATCCTGTAAGGAGGGTCACAGAGGTGTGTGCGCTTTACGCACTGAATGCCTCACCTTCAGCCCCTGGCACACCCAGCTCACACTTTCCAGGGAAAACAATGTTGGAAGGCTGAGACGAGATACATCTGTCTGGCTTTAAAGGAGGGTTTAAAGCATTGACTCCAAATGCGTACCCATGCATGCGCCTGGCAATTAGCCAAGGGCACAAATCCACAGGGCTGAAACTCCGCAGGCTAACACACTTGCCCTGAGCCTACCCACACCTAAAGCCCTTGAGCCAATCTCATGTTTTTTATCCCTCCTTGATCATTTTTATAAATCTCAAGGTGGCAAACTTATCTAATACTCCTCCCTCTTCCTATTTTCCCCACAACAACCACCCTGTGAGGTGAGCTGGGCTGGGAGAGAGTGGGATTTCAGTGGGATTTCAAGGGGTGAGGAACCCAAACGTGGGATTCATTCTAGACCTGCCTAGAAGGGCACCCAAGGGATTAGAGAACAAGACGACGAGAAACCACTTTGAAGGGATTAAAATCAGTGGATTTCCTGCCCGTGGGAGGGGGTTGGACTAGATGGCCCTCGTGGCCCCTTTCGGCTCTGTCATTCTACGGTTCTATGGACTGACCACCAAGCAAATGGGATCCTCTGTGACACGTACCGCCTTTCCTTAAGACTTTTCTAACACTTTCCCTGCATCATACCGCGAGCCACTTCCTCGACACTCTCCTGTCCGCCTCGATACCCAGCTTTATGGAACATCTCAACTATTAACGCTCTCCCTGCAGGAAATAAGGCATTCCAGCAAGGGCAGGATGGGTCCAACGTTCAACTGATGATGCCCTGCAAGCATCACCCAGAGCGTTGAAGTGTAGGGTTTGCAAACTGCCGTGCTGACTTCACCAGTGAGCAGAGCCAAGTACCACCGTTTCAGATCCACACGTGTTATTTAATGTGTCTTTGGGGCAAACTGGCAGGTGGTTATCTGGGTTTAGACACCACAGTTAAAACCCTTGAAAACAAACCTTTTTCAATTATGACAGTAGAGCAGTGTTTCTCAACCTTGGCAACTTGAAGATGTGCGGACTTCAACTCCCAGAATTC